AGAGGAGTTGAGGAAAGCAGCTATAGTCATCCGGGCCCACGTCTTGGGCTACATGGCAAGGTCAGTGCTGGGGCTGCCCCGACCCCCTGCTTTGCTCTCTAGTTCCCTCGCATCCCTCCCTTCTTCCCCTCCTATATGCTAAGGGAGAGCTGCGGGATCTGCCCTCCTTGTCAGCATCAGTTCTGCTGAAACCTTTCTGCACCTTTGCCACCTCTTAAATTCTGTACATGCTTGCACCCTCCCTCAGCGCTGCTCAGCAGGCTTCTGCAGGAACCTCTATACCCATTGCTTGCCTCCGATGACACCTCTTCCTTGCCTTCAGGGCTCTCTGGCTGGGCCCCACTTAGGCTTTGTCCCCTCCTTTCTTACGCCTGTCAACTCTGTTTTCTGCTCCCCCCTGCAAACTGCTGCTTCCTCACTTGCAGCTCTGCCTTTGCTCACTCTCTTTCCTCGCCCTGCCTGTTTGCCTCGTGATCTCCCTCTCCTTTTAATTAACCGTTCAGAATTGGTTTTTGGCCAGCTTTGCACCAGTAATCTCCTCTTGCCACTCCCTTTTGCACCTGACCAGGGGAGGGTTGGGAGAACCAACTGCAGACAAACCGCCCCTCCTCTGCCCCTTGCAGTCAGTGTAACAGCTGACTCCTTAATGGCTGTGGCATGCACAGTTAATCCCAGTAAGATGCTCTTCCCTGGCTGGTCTCTGCTCCAGGCACCTGTCAGTCAGGGGTGTGAGGAGGTGAAATCCCTGGCCAGCAGAGCAGTTCCAGCAGGCACTCTTCTTAGAGCTCCCATTAACACCAGGTAGCTCATCTAGCACTGGGAAATGTGTGCAAGGGTTGTACCCTGCCTTGCCAGTGTGGAACATCAGCAAAATACACATTTGGTCTCGAGGGCTTTTATTCATTTATTTATTTCCCTCTAGGAAGACATATGAGCTGTCTCTATTGTTTGTTTGTGAGATTGCAAGTTCTTTGTGTCAGGGCCTCTGTTCTATTTTACTTTGTGTCTAGCATTTGAAGAGAGGGGTAGGAATCAGCTCAGGAAAATTGATTTCCCTGGGTAAGATCACTGCAGGCAAACTGGATTAGTGCTTTTCCTGGGAAGGTAGCTGCTGTTGTGCAGGGCTGTGATGAAGACAGTGTTGTAGTAGTGTTCCTCTTGGCTAGAAATCTTGTGGTCTTCCAGTCTTTACAGATATGGATTCCTCATCTCACATGTTGCTCTTCCCAGTCTCATCTTTAGGAACAAGCTGTGATTCTGCAGCCAGAGTGGAAATCCTCACAAGCAGCTGGAGGTAACTGGACTTTGCAGGGGAGGAGAGCCAGGAGTGAGGAAGGAGCTAGAGAGGGAGACTGGAAAACGTTTCTGGGAAGAGTTTCCAGTTGCACTGCACCTGTATTGGAGAAAGTCCAGCAAGGGAGTTCATCTGGGCAAGTGCTGAATGGTCTGTACAGAGTTGGGCAGAGGTCTGGAGTACCAGTGTGCGCTGCCTTAAGCTTGATACCATTTCTGTTAGTTTTGCAAGGACAAGTCTATTTAAATTCTTCTGATCTCATGCAAAGTAGGTTGGCGAAGAAAGGTATATAAGCCACAGGAAGGATTTTACTGGCTTCTCCCCATTTTGTGAACTTGTTCTGTGAGCCCGGAGAACCAGTCCTAAGGGTGAGATGGTTTTCTTTGCTCTCATTCCCTGCAGCCTGGTATCTCTGACTGGTAACTAAAATGTGAGACAAGAAAATCAAGCCCATTCAAATGATTCCATTTTTCGTAGCTAATCTGTGGAACTCTGAGCTCCAGGTAACAGCTTTACCAGCTAAAATACACATAACTGTTTCCAGTTTTGCTCGCAGGAGCCATGTACTGATTTGGCTGTGTCCCTGGATTCTGCAGGGCCTTATTGCTCAAGGGAAGGAGACAGTAGGAAATTTCTCCATGGCCCTGTGTTCTCTAGTCCTCGGAAATATAACTACAGCTCATGGACAGAGTAATTAACCAAATTCCAAATGCAACACTGGAGCCTTGCAGCCATCCCGCCTGCTCTTGTGATACATGGTCAGGATGCCTCCCAACTCCTCAGCATGGGCTGCAGGTTGAATTTCTTTGGGCAGTGCAAGAGGGTGAGTGGAAGGCTGAACAAGGGGAGTGAAATTCATGGCCTGTGTGCAGCAATTCCAGCTGAAGGGCGTCTGCAAGTTTGGCTGCGGTCATGAGGAATGAGGGGGCACTTCAGCCTGGCAGATTAGCAGGCAGAGCTGGCCTGTAGCTGGGCAGGGCTTGGCACATGTTGCACTTGAGTTTCTGGCAGATGCATTTTGTAAAAGTCAGAGTGCCCTTTTTGATGCACTTACATCTGCCTTGGCAGCGGGTGGGTGTGCAGCTGTTCACACCCCATGTGCAGGGCACAGGGAGCAGGGGTGAGGGGACTGCAGCGCAGGAGCAATTCATCTAAAGCCTCACACTTCTTATCACCTCTTCCCTTTCCTCTTCTTTTCTCTGTGTTTCCTCCCTTTGACTTAATACTTATGGAAAAGAGCATGACCTCTGCACACTGCTGCTATTAGCATCCCTCTCCTGATTTTCTTGACTAGGCTGACGTATCTGGTGTGCAGGGAGGTGGCAAGCTGTCAGCATGGCTCCCTGTTGCCATTTGAAGGGGATTTGATTGCCAGGAAGGAGGGGATTTTGAGGTGTGTCTTTTCCTCAGAGGGTTGCAGAAGGTCTTTGGGAAGGATATGTGAGAATATTGTGCTATTTCCAGCGTGCTTTCTAGGACTGTAGGGCTTCACAGAATTACTGTAGCCTGCTGGCCCAAGATCATCCTGTGTAACAGCCCCATGGAATTTCTCTCTGCAAATTCTAGTTTGGAGTAAAGAAGGTTTTGCTTTGAATAGTACCAATGATCATTTCCCTCCAGCAAGGTATTAAAGTGTCTAAATATATAAAATTACTTTTAAAAAGTCATCTTTTTTCCAGCTTGAATAGACTTCAGCTTCAAGTCAATTTAACCTTGTTGTTTCCCCTGTTGGATAAATAGAAATGCCACCCAAAAATATGAGTACTTTGACTGGGATCAAGCCTTTCCTTAGCCATCTCTTTCTTAAGGCCATGAAGCAAGGTCATGGCTTTCTATAAGCCAGGATTTCTGGTTCCAGTCCCGCTCCATCACAAATCACTCGAGGGTCTAACATTCTTGAAATGGAGGTGCTAACACTGAACACAGGATAAAAGTAGCAGTGCAGTCCCCTTCTATACAGTATTTCTGCTTGCAAGTATGAGAATCCCAGTAGTATTTTTTTCTGTAGCATTGTGTTGGGAGTTTGCCATCACCTGATGATCCCTATGGCCCCTAAGTGCTTTTTTGACTTGCTGCTTCCTAAGATAGTCCCACATCAGGTGTCTTTGGCCTTTGGTTCTTCAATAGACGATCTTATGTTTGGCTCATTCGAATTGTTTAATATTTGCTTGAATCTAGCTTACAAATTGATCCAGATTACTGTGTAATAGTAACCCTTTTGTTATGTGCCCAGTTTGTGTATCATGTACAAACTTCTACCAGTGACTTTTTTTTCAGGTCATCGATAAAAATATTCTGTAATGCAGAGGCAAGCACTAACCTTTTTAGAATTTCACTAGACTACAGAAATAGTGAATGATGATTCTTTTCTTTTGGGGCCCTACCATGTTTTTTTGTTTTAAAGTACAGCAAAGTTGATTTTGGTATCACTGTTGTTTAAGCAAAATATTGTGCAATGTAAGTATATGTTTATCGGAGCCTGTTACAATGTTAAATTCAGCAATCAATATTGTAGTATCACCATGTTTTCCCCCAAACAATACGAGATTAATGTGACCAGATCTATTTTTGCCCTGGTTTTGCTTTTCTTGGAGTAATTTGCTTTTGTCCACTTAAAAGATGGGGCAATATGAGACTTTGTTCTCATACAGGAAGGCCATTGAGTGATTATGCTAATTGCACAATGAATATGCGTAGGTGTAATGCAAGGAAACTTTGGGCCAGTGGACCTTCTTTCCATGTGCCAAATATCTGTTCTTCATCCTTGGAGGGTCATCACAAAAGTAGATGCCCACGAAAACAAACCAGTGGTAGATGTAGGAGTGAGAACAGTAAGGAGAATATGATTTACAGGTCGTGGCAGTAGAGGAAGAGAAATTGTGTCATTTCTGAGCAGTATTTTCCCAAATTATTTTTCTGTGGATTTGGTAAGATTGGTCAATATACCAGGGCATGAGAAATGCAAAGCATGTATTGCTTCATGGCGCATTAAGTGTCTGGTTCTGTTTTTAGGAAGAAGTATCAAAAGGTGCTAGCCAGTGTTGTTATAATCCAAAAGAACTACCGAGCTTACTTCTGGAAGAAGAGCCTCCTGCGACTGAAGGCCTCTGCAGTCACCCTGCAGAAGCACTGGCGTGGCCGCCTGGCTCGCAGCCTCTACCAGCACCTGCTGCAGCAGGAACTCAGGCGGAAGCAGGAAGCGGAGGAGAGAAGGAGGCAAGAAGAGGAAGAACAGATCAGAAGAGAGGAAGAGGAAAGACAATGGCAAGAAGAGGAGGAGCGTAGGAGGAAACGGGAAGAGGAGGAGGTGAAGGAAAGGTACAAGATGGTATCTTGCACTCATAGTTCCCTAGCACTAAAGCTCCTGAGGTGTAGAAGTGGGTCTGGGGCACTGGTGTGATGGTAACAATGGAACAGCAATTGCATGAGACGGTGTCGCAGTGCCAGGGTGCAGAGTTGGGGTGGGCTGTGGTCAGCTTAGAATAGAAAAGCAGATGGAAAAGGAGTGGCCTGCTTCCTTTAGGAAAGCTAATTCTGGTGTATTTTTACCTCTGTTTAGTGTTTTTCTGCTTTGGAATGTACATGAAAGGAGGCAGTTTCACTGATTGGGCAGAGATGCGTCATTTTCTCATTGCCTTTGCAGTGGTAAAGGAAGTTTATGCAGTCTTCCAAAATCTAGAGGGATTAGCAGTGTGAGAAGATACCAGAGTTCATGGGTCTTGATGTGTCCAGTAATCTGGGTCAGAGAGCAAGATGAGAATACGCTCATATACACGTCCTCTCCCTGTTCCTGCTGCTGTGTATCTCTCCTCAGGGATGCGGATGTGTTGAGAGATCAGGAGGGAAGGGAAAAGCTAGTGTGACAAAAAGATGCAATCTGTGAGCAGTGACAGTGCACCTATTGAGAATCCTACACCTCATGCACCATTAAGTGTTCACTCCGTGGTTACCTACATCCTATCCAAAGTGGGTGTCTCTATTGATAATCTTTTGTTTAAAGAAGCATAAAATTTCAACTACGAGATTATTATGAATTTGAACAAATAATCCTGTGACATTTTAAGTTTTTCATAAATAGTTGGTTACTTTTCATATAGGCTTTTGTTACTTGTCCCAAAGTTGGATCAGAAAATTCTAAGATTAGAAGCCTGTCACAAGGAAAAGAGATTGCCTGTGGTTTCACTGGAGACAGTAGGATGATTTATCTGCTGCAACAAGACGTGGAGTCAGTGACACCAATGATGAACAATTTGGTGAAGGAATTTGTTGAACAACACTGAAGGTTCCAATGGGTCAATTTTCAACAACAGCCTCATCAGCAACATGAAGCTGTGCAAGTTCAGAATGTCAGTAACTAGTTTTACTGAAACAAATAATTAAACGGTTGTAAACGCTTGATAAAGGAGTTAAGAGCCGATGTGGATTTCTGAGGAACCAATAGCATTGAAGTTACCCGTTTCCTTCTGTGATAGCTTATGACATGCCTTGTGGATAGGGAAAAGCTACAGAGGGTAGGTGACTTGAGTTTGGGTAGGTAGAGGGTAGATAAGGGCTTTGATGTGTTATGACAATAAGGCACTATAAGGAATGTGGTTTGGAAAAAAGTCAGTTAAACAAGACTGGGATTTATGGGTTTACTGCATTGTATTATTGCATTTTAATTAGTAAACAAAAGTAGTTTTTTGTTAAATAAGAGGGAACTCTTGAATGGGATTTTTCCATGGTCTGTGCTGGATATGGTACTAGTGCAGTGTTTCGTAAGTTGGATGAGGCAATACGAGTATCCTTATTAAATCTGCAGATAAAACCATTTGGTGAGGGGCTGTAAGTATATAGCTAGACAGGATTACAATTCAAATGATTTTGGCAAATTAAAGAAGTGGTCTGAGAAACATACAATACCATTCAATACAGACATATGTAGATTTACAGTTTGGAATAATCAAATGCACAGAAAGAAGGAGGAATGCCTACTTCAACAGCAGAAAGAAGGTCTGGAGGCTAAGTTGAGTATTAGTCACCAGTGTCATGCTGTGTGAGAGGAGAAAACAAATGCCATCTATAAACAAGAGTGTTTCTGTAAGCTGTGGGGTAATTCTTCTGTTTTGCTTGGTACTGGTAAGGCTTCAGTTGGAGTACTGTCCCTAGTTTTGGGTATCACATTTCAGGAAGAGTGTGGATCAGTTGAAGACGGATGGAAAGCATCATGAAATATCAGAGGTCTGAAAAATGTGAGGAACAGTTGCAGGAATTAGTGTGTAGATTGTAGGTGGTATTCCTGATTTGTTTTAAAATGGCTCTGCTTCTTGAGCCCTTGTATCATTTAAGGCAGTTGTTTAACTTACAACTTCTGTTAGGGATCTTTCAGTAGAGTTGGAACATCTGGATCTCACTTATGTCAGCTTTCATTTATAAATATTTCCTGGTTTGGGTTTTTGTTTTTTGGGGTTTTTTTTTGAGAGAGAGAGTGAGTGCAAGAGTGTGAGCTTTAAGGACTTTGTGACTTGCAACTGCAATTTAGAATTTGGTCGGGAGAAGCTGCAGGGCCTGGGAAATAAATATTTTTGCCCTCCTATTCTGCTTGAGGTTGAATGATAGATTTGAAGGTTACCACTGCCAGTCTGAATTTATCTGCACAGTGGTTGCTACAGGCAGACACTTCCATCCATCCAGATCCTATCCCTGCTCCCTACGCGTGACCCTGGCATTTGTCTGTCCCTAGGTCAGTTGCTTTTAATGTTCTCACTATGGAGAAACTGGCCATAGTGACAGCTTTCCCTTGGAGTACAAGCTTTTTGATCTGAGTGGAAATACAGCACCGTGGGATAGTTTTTTTTCCTCTACTTGTGTTTACTAACAAACTCTGACTTTTACAGCCTTTACTAGTAAACTAGATTTTGCAAGCCACCGAGAAGTTATGCAAGCTGGATTACCCAAGTATTCCGAATAGGAAGTCCTCAGTTTAGTCATTTAACATAGTACAAAAATGCGATGATTTGGGGGGGCTTTAATATAGTAAAAGCAAAGCAAAATAAATTAAGTGCTGGTATTACAATAATTCTGTTCTACTTAAAAAAAAAAGACTAATACAGTTTCCTGATATCTGTGAATTATGCATGTACAACCTCATTTAATATCCATAGATGTAAAGTACTTCAGAAGATTATGTTTACATTTATTATGAGTCTAACTGATCTGCCTTTCTGTCACGGTTTCCAATGTCCTTCCTAGTGTGTTCCAACTAACCCAATTTCCTGATTGATCTGAAAGTTAAGTGCGTGGGGAAAATCTGTTGTATCCACAAAGGTCATGCCAACCACAGAGAATTGGATTTTTACTAAATTACAAAAGCTTTTAAATCAGTCTTACAACAAGTACCTTGTTTTAACCTTATCCATGGAGGGATGACGTGTCCATGTAATTCTGAAGGCCTCATGTAGGAGAACTGGGTCTGTCTCTGACTATCATGTCTTGTTCTTTAACAGAGAAAAGGAGCAACTGAATGAGCTACTCCAGGTGGCTCAGGTAAGCTTAACATTTATTCTTTTCATATGTTTTCTCTGAGTATCTGTGAAGGGTCCTTCATTGCTTACACTTCACCTGGAGCTAATATTGTTATTGTGGCAACACTATTTAAAAAATGGGCTTTATTCACTCAAAACCTGCAGGTGTTTGGCTTTGGCAGAGGTGCATAGAGGTGGGTTATTTTTTAGGTTTGGTTTTGGTTTTTTTTTTTCAAGGCTCATGTACCAGCTTGCATAGTTCCTATTTGAAAAATTCTGTATTAGACATGCAGCATCCATTTTTATCTCTACTGCTTGAGCTTACTACATGACCTTATGATGTGCTACTCCGACACAGTCTGTTTTGCTGGATTGTTACCTGCAACAGCAAAAATAAGAGTGTGGACGGCTGCTACTGTGGCTAAAATAAATCCCTTGTAACTGATCTCATTGTTTGCTGGTACTTGATATGTCAAAGAGCAGACCACCTACTCTGAGGTGTGTGAAAACAGCTGTGTATCTTCTTATTTCTTTTCCCAAACCACTTGTTTCCCAGTTTCAGGAGAGATGACAGGTAAAATTGCATTTGTACATAAGTAAGAGTCAAGTAGAGAACAAGCAACAGGGTAACTGTAAAGAAAACAAGGATTCTGACTTAAATGGGCCGATTCACTGGTTGCATTGCCATACTTCTATCAGGAAGTACATTAAATCCTTTTGGAATTTATTTTTGCTTTTTCTTGTGTGTGTATGTTTTCAACACTGATCATGAAGGAGTGAATGGCTTTATCTTAAAGCTAAATATCAGTGAAAGTTACCAGCATCTTCTGTCTTCTAATTATTGTGTACTTGCTAGAAATTTCCTGTTACTTCAGTGTGGCGAATAGAGGAAGACAGAGTCTTTAGCAGCCAGCCAGCCATCATCCTTCCAGCGATGCTGAAGAATGCCAGAAATTCTGGGTGGAGTTTTGGTGGGGTGGGTTTGGAATGGATATCCCTTCCATACCTAAATTTTGATGATCAGACCCCCAGCTCAGGAAGCAATGAAATCCCCAAATGTATTAATGAATTTCTGCAAAATCTTCAGCTCTTAAGCAGGCTATGCATATATGTATTTGTATGTAGTTGCTTTGTCCTATATGTGCATATGTGTTTGAGATAGGTCAAAAAGAGAGGATGGACTTTCAGAATTCTTTTATCCAAATTATCGTGTACAAAGGGCTGTAATGTGAGCAGCAGACAGAGAGGCTCTTCTAAAAATTCACTGATTCCAGTGAGCTACTTTGTACGAGTCAGAAAGAGGTAGGCTGCTGGAAAAAAGGAGGTACCTGAAGATCTGTAGTTCTGCCTTTAGCTTTTACACCATGGATGATTGCAGATGCTGATCAGAAAAGGAGAGGATGCTTAGAGTCATCTTTTTGCAGGTGGAAAATACAAGGCAAGCACAGGAGGTAGGAAGAATGAAAGGTCCAGGCAAGGAACACATATAGGTTGAAGAAACTGCTTTAACACTATTATAAATTTTTTAAGGTGGAAGCAGTAAAGACTGAGGAGGTAGATATTCCCCTGCAAGAAGAAGAGAGACGTCAGATGGAGGAGATCTTAAGACTGGAGAAGGAGATTGAGAAGTTGCAGCAACAGAAAGAGGATCACATGTCTATCATCTGTGAAAACACCAGGAATGAAATCAATCGGCAGCGAGAAGAAGAGATCCAGAGGCTGGAAAAGGAGGCATCCAGGGTTGCCCAGGAGTTTTTGGACCTGCTGGATTTTGGCAATCTGGATGAAAGTGTGCAGAACTTAGAGCGCTCACTTTCTAGTGAGGGGACACTCAACATTGACTGCAGCCTGGTGGCACCACTGGCTGAAGAAGAAGTGGATGAGGGTTTTCATGCTGATGATGAGGGACGGCCAACTTCCAGTTTGCTGGTCTTGAATAAGCATGGCACAAGAAACAGCAATAACTACTCAGAGGAAGGTGCAGACACAAGACTTGTCCAGAGGGAAGTGAGAGAGGTTGTCCCATCTCCAGGACAACTTGTGGAAAGAACCACTAGCCCCAAGGAGCAGAGAGCCTTATCTGACCCAGCAGAAAGCATTTACAGCACTGTCTCAGATATGCAGAGGATTAACAGCGGAGAGGTGGGAGAGCCGATTTACACTTCCCCCCCAGATGTGGAGTCTGACTATGACCATGAGGAGTTTGATGGCTGTGGAGATGCAGGTAGCGCCTCAGCTGAGCCCCTGAACGATGAAGAAGGTCTGAGACACTCCCATGGTACCAGCCTGGACTCCAACCGTGGTAGCCTGGACTCGGTAAGAATCCCTGCCTTCACCTTTCCAGACATTAGTGTGACTTTGTTGATTTTTATAACATCCTTGCCTTCTTACTGTATGCCTGCTTGCTCTGGGTATTGTTACTAATACATAACTCTCTCTTATATCAATAATTGGCTTGGAAAAAAGGGAAGAGTCCTAGACAGGCTGAAGGCAAGAGGGCTTGTGACTGTCTGGTGTCACTGGTACACAAGCTAGCATGTATGTACTTAGGCTATTTTAGATTGTTTGCATCACCATATATTAACGTAATGCTCTTTAGGATGACTGAAGCAGACAACTGATATCCTGTAGGTATATGTTCTACCTTAGAGAGATTTCACAGAAGTAGCCTGAGCTTCTAGTGGACAATTACAAGGGGAAATGGGGAAGGCTGGGGTTTGATTTGTTTCCATCACTGAAACTTCTCTTGTTCTAGTCCTGTTACTGTTCAGAGTCAAGGGCTTACTTTCAGGTGCTGTCTACAAGTTAAGCTACTCTAAGGCTTGAAGAAATTACTGTGCTGATCCAGGCCGGGTCCCAGTGCACACAGCCAAGAGCACTGAACCTTTTGATTCTTACCCCAGGGACAATGACAGGGTAGTAAAGCTGGGCTGTTAGCCTTGAACTTGAAGCATCTCAGCTTAGATCCCACACTAGGCTCTGGACTTCCTGAGTGCCCTCAGGATAGTTGCTTAATAATGCAACGATAAATCCCCTTACAGAACAGCATGTCAGATAAGCCCACATAACGTTGTGAGGAGTTCAGGTGTGAAGCCAATGACAGCCATAAAAATACTTCAGATAAATTATGCCCTTCAGAATAAAGACTTGAACTACAAAATACCTTTTAGAAAACGATTTTTTTGTTAGTTTGCTTAAGGAATTCAGTTTACTTCCTTTGCTATTCTTTTCCAAGGGCAGATTGTGACCCTTCTTAAAAAGTTGCATAATTTTTCCTGTTTGCATTTCCCTCATGTCCGCTGCCAACTATCAGAATTTTTGATTATGTGATCTGCTTGAGTAAAGGTACCTTCTCTGTGGGCAGGTACCCACAGATCACTGTCAGGTAATCTTCAAGTCACGAATCATTCTGTCATAGCCTAGGCCAGTTTATAGCAATCTTCTTAAAATGTAAATAGAAGTGGAGGATTTTATTGGGCTCCTTGGTAAGACTCATGAAAAATCCGGTTGATACTATGTCATGGCATGAGCCACAGGAAGAGAACTGCAACTGGGTCAGGATCCTATCAGTAGCTGCTGATCCAAGAGCACCTGCTTTTTGAAACTTAAACTTAATGGCAAGAGAGGAAGAATGAATGAGTAGAACAGGCATGAGACAAAAGAGCACAGAGGGGTCACAGAGGGAGGACAAAATGAAAAAATTAGAAAAGAAGCAACATGCATCTGAGGAAGGAAAAGGTTTAAGGAGCTGCCTTCATTAGTAATAAATTAATAAAGCTGATCAAAGGAAGTTGTATTTAAGGTAAAGGAAACGATAGGGTAACTTGGGATTTCGTGTGTGAAGTATTTTCTTATGGCTGAGGGCCATTATCTAGTTAGAGAATGGGGATGAGTAAGTAATACACTATTACTTCAGTAATTTAGATTTTTTTTTAGGATTCAGTTATCCTGGAATGTGCTTTTTTTCCCTAATCAGTCCAAAGCAAGACATTTCCTTGCTGGGGTTAGATTAGTGCTCCATCTTGTCCAGCATTTTAGCATGTCTGCCAAAAATCAGAAAAATCCTCCAAAATGAAAAGTTGTATCTTAATCCCATTAAATGAGGTTTTGGACTGTGGCCTCTGCCTTGAAGAGGAAGGTTTGTTACTGCTGGTAACTGGAGTTTTATAGCCATGTCCACTGCTGAATGTCACTCTCCTTTCTGGTATGAAAATTCCATGCTCTGGAGACTCTTGCTCTAGGCATTAATGGGTAAGCTGTCATGCTTCTAGTTTTACTGTATTGCTTTTTTTGTAAAGGGAGTATGTGTATTTTTGCACCTTCTGATCATGTGACTTCTCTAGCCTTGTTACTTTGCTCCAGTCCTCTTGCATCCAGGGGAACCCAAGTAGCCTGTATTTCTTCTTTTCCTTTTAGTTTCTGGACAGTGAAGAAGAAGTGGATGTTTACATTGATACAGATGAAGAGTTTTGTAATGGACGAGTCACTATCTTCAATGGCTCGGGACCACCCTATTTTCACAGCTATCTCTACATGAAGGGTAAGCGGCTTTAGCCAAAACCATGGAAGGGTGGAATCCAGAAAACCCGCTTTCCTCTTCTGTTTCTCCAGAATCATCATCTTCATCTTCTCTTAGTTCTCTGTTTACTTTCTTTTTTTGTTGTTTTTTTTAATCTTCTTTTATTTAAAGCAAAGACCTAATAGATGAATGTCAGAGAATTAGACTGGATGTCTTTGCCACTAATTGCACCCACTTGGTATGGGCTTAAGTGACTCATTCTGAGCTACAAGACTGAAGACAATACAAAAATATTTGACTGATGCATGTATTTCTAGTGCATATATTTCTATATTTTGTGTTTCTTTCACTAGTTTGTTGTTTTTTCTCTGTCCAAACTTAAGCATAACCTTGTTTCTCTCCTGCAGCTCCTTTGTTTCATACAGGAACTGAAGTGGCAGCTAAGCATCCGTGAAGCAAGATCAGAATGGAAACATTCCCCTTGTTGCATGTCTGATGAAATTTTGCTCCCTCACTTTGCAGGAGGTCTCATGAACCCATGGAGGCGACGCTGGTGTGTTCTGAAGAATGAGGCCTTCATGTGGTTCCGCACCAAGCAAGAGGCGCTGAAGTCAGGCTGGCTCTATAAAAAAGGTGGAGGAATGTCAACACTTTCACGTCGCAACTGGAAACGCCGTTGGTTTGTGCTTCGAGAATCCAAGCTGATGTATTTTGAGAATGATAGCGAGGAAAAGCTGAAGGGGACAATTGATATCAGAAGGGCAAAGTGAGTGAAGAAATAAATCCTTTTGATCCCTAGCATTCACTCTCTAAATCAATACTGAAGTGTCCAGTGCTGCCAGTTCATTGGCCTGTGTATCTCCCATGGGGCTAGGAGAATCAGAAACATAAGGGAAGGAAAAGACAATTAGAGCTTCTAGTTTTACTCTGGAGGGAGTCTGAAATTAGATAGTTCTTTTTCCAGTCTTGCATTTCATAATCCGGCAGAAGTTCTTTCCGAGCCATGGATGGAGCCAGACCAGGAGGGGCTAATTAAGTACATACCCCATGCATTCTCCCCTGCCCTGACTCCATCTGTTTCCTGGCTTCTCCAGGCATTTCACAGAGGTGGTATGAAGATCACAGCGGGATTTGAATTTGGCAGCATGTACTGTGCCTTTTTTTGAGGCCTGAATGTTCTTTTTGCTGCCATAGCCAATTCCTCAGCTCCTGCTGTAAGAAAGAGAAGACTAGCAGCCCATTAGGAGTATGTGGGCCTGTAAAGTGCCAAAAAGAGTGTCACGCCCCATTTTGTAAACAACCCTCTGTTATCTCTTCTTCCATTTAGTCTGCTGGTGTCTTGAAGAAAATCCATTTGATGCCTTAAGCTTTGCTTTTGTAGTAGATCAGCTGTACAAATCTTTTAAAGGGGACCCTAGAAGTCTTAATGTGTATTAGAGGAATTTTGTATTTCTCTCGGAGTTACAAGCCATCTGCACCGGTGATTTCCCTTCTGTGTGGTGAATGGTATGATGTCAAAAAAATTGGCCAGATGGAATTTTTGCCTGTGAAAGGTTTTCAGTTTTGGCTCTTGTGATTTGCTGTGTTCCAGGGAGATTGTGGACATTCATGAAAAGGAGAATGCCTTGGACATTGTGACAGAAGACAGAGTTTATCACATTGTTGCAGAGTCACCAGAAGATGCCAGGTATAAGAGGGAGTTTTGTTAGGTTTGTTCATTCAGTGCAGGTCTGACCCAACTACTCATGGGAGAGCCTGGGAAACATAATCACCTCCCTTTTGCTGGAGAAAAGAGGGCATTCATTCCAGAGTGTCATTTTGTGCTACTGGAAGATACCACACCTACTTTGGGGCTCCTGGTTGCAGCTACTGAGATGGTGGTTCAGCCTATTAGTCAGTCACAGGACTGCCACCTTCTTATATGTCTGTGAGCATGCTGAATTCCAGGGTTACTTCAGGAGACACACAAAACCTTAATATAAACTGGAACATCTAATAGCTGATTTATTTATTAAATGGAATCTTGCATCAAACAAAAAGTCTATTCATGTTGTCTGTAAATGATTGCAAGAGCAGCTGGGTTTTATCCAGGAGACAGAGAAAAAGCTGCAGCTTATCAGAGTCTGTAGTGTCATCTGATAAAATCTTCCCAGTGCAAAGCAAACAAATGACTCATGTCCTTCCTTCTTGGCATCTTGGCCAGGCAGTGGGAATCAGTTGTTTAAGGGCAGGTTGGACAACCTGTTCTGGCTATGCAAAACCAAGTTAAGAGGTTACTGTCCCTAGCTGCTCATGTCTTCCCACTTTTCCCGCTCTTACGAAGGCTTTTGCTCTCTCAGCCTAGCCAGCGTAACTGTTTATCTGATGTACTTTAATCTGATTCTGTGAAGTTTATTTAGAGTCTGTTATTATTTCATTTAGGGAAAGGAAGGGGGAAAGTGTTTGGACACAAATAAATTAACAGAAATAGACTAAAGAACAGCCATGTGAAGAAGAAACAGACAAATTCAAGGCGCAGTAGCTGAAAAAATAGTAACTTCTTAACCCAGAGCTTCCACAATTGGAATAGGCATTCCCTAGGATAACATTGCAGAATTACTAGGGCAAGTGGAAATCAAATGTGGCCTCTGTCAATGCCATATCAGTCTCTGGTCTGAGGAAGAAAGCACCAACACTTACACTAGCAAAGGGCAGATTAGCAGATGTCACAGAGTATCCAATTTGAGAATCCTTCCTGAAGTCTAGATGTTTGCTGATCTCACTGGAAGATGCAGATAAGAATCTGCTTGTTCTGCAACAGAGATTAGCCTCTAGATATGTCTGTAAGGAGAAGCCCTTTCACAGACAAATAACTCCAAATTAACCATAAAAAACCCCATGATTATTTGACAGCCATATGACTTTCAAGTTTATGAGCAGATCAGAGAGAGACTAGTTAATGCTCCCAGATATCTCTAGGACTCTAGTCTAGGAAGATTCCCAACTGACGCTGTCTTTACAACTGCTGTATGCTCTTCTCATTCGGCTGACGTGTGCTCCCTGTTGAGGCCACTGCCTGCTTACAGTTCCTTGAATAGCAAGTAGAAAGCTGGATTTTGTGGGAGCAGCTGTCAGTGGGTTGGAGAACGTGCACAGAATTTTCATGGATAAATAAGGAGGAAGGAAGACATTAGAGTCTGGTATGATCAGCCCAAGAGATATTTTGTAGCATAGTCCTCAGGAAATTGTGAATGAAGCAATTTTCCCACAGGCATCTTTCCAGGTTCCTTGATCATATTCTAGAGCTAGCTTCACTAGCCAAATCTTAACTTTGAGTCTGTTTCAATTGCCAGTGGTTGGTTTAATGTCCTGAGCCGAGTACACAGCGCTACAGCGCAGCAGCTGAGGGAAATGCAAGATGAACAGGCCAATCCAAAGAATGCTGTGGTGAGTTACTGTGCAACCAGTCTGTGGGCATGTTTAAAGCCCTCTGTGTTTAACTGTTTTGGGCATGTTTTTCCAGCACTTGCAGTGCCGTAGTTCATAAACAGGATAAGAAAGTTGGACAATTATTATAAAGAAACAGCAAAGCTGATAGAAAAGAGGGTGAGCAGTGGCAAACATGGTGGTTGTGGTGGGTGGATTAGCTTGATCACCAGTAGCTCTCTTTTGTTTGAAGGGAAGAGCAGTGCTGCGTCAGGCAGATAAAATGTCTTTGGATGGGATTATGGGACTAGTCTGGGTCACAGTCATTCCAGACAGAAGATACACAGTTGGGAAGAACAATGTATTTATTTATTTTGCTAGTACTGAGGTACTAGCAAAGGTTATTTCAGACCTTCATAATGCTCTCTGGAAATTTATGGCTCTTTTTCCTCCAGTTCTGTGGAGCCCTTGTACATCTTCTCATGCTATTGAGGGAGCAAAGATGACTCACTCGTGCCTTTCTCATATGTTCATTTCTTCTCAAGCTATTGGAATTCAGAAGAATGCTTTCAGTTCCAATCCTATTCATGAAGGAGAATGTCTGTAATTTAAGATACAAGCAATTCCTGTTATCTGTGTCTTTCTCACTGTACAGGGAACCCTGGATGTTGGGCTTATTGACTCTGTCTGTGCATCAGACAATCCTGATAGGTAAGTACAGCAACCCAAACACCTCTTAAATCAGAAACTAACATATTTTTGTGGCTAGGTCCAGGTTTTCTTTGGGGTTTGCATTTGTTTAAACTCACAAGAATTTATCTCTAAACAAAGAAACATAACCAAAGTCTTTAGCTTATTTCGAGCTATGTCACTTCACAGGCATGAAGTCCACACATGTATTTTCTTTGAGTGAAAGTTTCTCTTTTCCCTCTTAAAGTGGAAACAGCATAATCCTAATGTCAAGAAATTATAGTCTTACCTATTAACACTGAACAGAAATGTCCAGCAAAAGCAGCACTTCCAGTTTTTCAACAGAGTAATTTTAAGTTAATCTGGTAAATTTAGGGGAAAGAAACAGCATTGTGGAAGAATGATGAATGAATTTAGAAATCTGTGCTATTCTTGAAGTCTTTGCAATGTAACAGAGCACAGACCTTTAGTTCACAGGTTAGTTTCAGAGAAGAGATTAGGGAACATTTCATATCACTTTATGTTAACATTTAATTATTTCCTACAGTTAACAGGTTCAGCCAGGGCAAAAATACTTACTACAGTGCTGAAGTAAACTATTAGCTATTAAGTTATTTACCTCTGTGGTCTGTTTTTTTTTTTTTTTTTTTTTTCTCACACAAGTTGCTAGGACTTTGAGGTTACTGGTGTAGAAAATGTATATCTTGGTAAGAGAACTAAGATTTCTTTGATCAAAATGTTTTAGCTAGTTCTCAACCTGGACTCCTTAAAGTTAATCTGTGTTCCAGTAGAACACTAGGCACGAACAGTAAGCTGAACAGTCAGAATTCATTCATGCCTCTGCTGAGGTACACTCATCTGAGTGTTTGCATCAACATTAAACAAATTCTGAGGAGAATGCCTATTTTTTAACAAAGGTTTTTATGCAGTTTATTTTTATCTTCTATAGGTTTATGCAGTGGTCAGACAGTTGATTGATTTTCACCTTTTACCTTTTGCTTCATACTTGCATTCTGCTTTTCAGTTTCTCTGTTTTCTCATATAAATCCATGTTTGCTTTCAAAGCTTTCTGAGTCTATCCTCTTGGAACTCGTCATATTTTTGTTTTTCCATTTCCTGTAAAGCATCAATTCTGTGCAGAATTGTGAATATTCTTTTAGTAGGACATGTTTCTCTGTTGAAAGAGAAGGACAAAGTCATCTAGGAGCGACATAACAGTTTTTTTCTCTGTTTTGTCAGGATCAGCTCATCCTTTTTGAAACCAATCTCAAACTCATTTTAGCTGACCCTGCTGGGACCTACATTTGCTACTGCATCACTGGGTTTAATAAGTACAAGCAGAACGACTGTACTAGCTCAGCACAGTGGTACTAGGACTAGCTCAGTCCAATCAGAAGGTAGAACAAAGTCCTTTGCTTATGAACCCAGGACATTTTACAGCTGGTCATTAGCTAATTAATGTTTTCCAGTCTTTGGAAATAGCTTTTGAAAGATGTATAATACCATTTATCTGGTCTCTGCATTCATCAGTTTGCAGATCAGCTGCGCAGGAGATGCTCTTAAGTGTTTCTACACTTCTCTGTAGTTTGTATTCAGAAAATCTTCCTGCACTGTTTATGGGAAGGTAGAGGACATGGCTTTGGATGTGCTGTGAGTTGAGATACTTGTACGGTTACAACCAATTTTAATGCTTTTATTTTCTGGCAGACCAAATTCTTTTGTGATCATCACAGCAAATCGAGTGATTCACTGCAACAGCGACACCCCTGAGGAGATGCATCACTGGATCTCCCTGCTGCAGAAACCAAAAGGCGAATCTAAGGTTGATGGCCAGGAATTCCTTGTGAGAGGTAAAAAGAAATGCATGCAATTATGACACGTGAAACTCCTTCTGTTTATAATCTGAGGGGGGGGGATTGACTGTAGCTAATCCAATCTAGGGTTTAGCAGCTCCCGAAAAACAATCATTTTCTGTCCCTCTCCACCTTCCTGCCCACTGCTTGTTGCATCCTGTGTTATGCTGGCACTGGCTTTTACCCAATTCCCTGTCAGGTGGATTCAGAAAGCTAAAGCTGGAAAAAAAGTACTTCTTTATGCGTTTAGTTTTTTGATGTTAGTTCCATAGCCTATTTTAACATGTCTAGCAATGCTGTCAGGAGATAGGAGGGAGCATGGCTGCTGTTTAGGAGCAGCTGGCTTAGACTGACTATAACATGACAGTGCAGCTTTTGTTTTCAGAAAGCTCTGTTCCTTCTGACACCTGTCATGTAGAGAGGGAGAGAGATCTTTGTGGGATTGCTGCTGTCCTAAATAAACTAACCTGATTGTAGTAGACATAGTGAAGTGACAGTAATTTTCTGAGAATGAGCAAAATATTTAAATTACGTCTCTGGTTTGAGCTTAGTTTGAGATGCAGGAGTTGATGCAGGAGTAGTGATCAGACACTACAAAATATTCCCCTATTTATCTCAAATATTTTTAAATTTCTTTAGTACTTTCAGTTCATCACATGGTCTTAAATGTACGAAGACACTCCTGATACAATCTGTAGAAAGCAAGTGTATGAGCAAATTACCTTACATCTTCCGTAAAGTATCTATGAGGGAATAAAGGTCTGAGAATGGTCATGGTAAGGCAGGAGGACAAGAAGAGAACGGTCACCAAAAAGTGGCATAAGTCTTCCATCTTAGTCTTAAATATTTCAAGGAGATGAATGATATAAAGCAGATTATCAGACAACAGTTTAAGTACCTTAAATTCAATATACTTGCAAGGCATCAGTTCCTTTTATCTCATATTGTTCATTAGTTAAAGAAAAAAAGGAATGTTCCTTTGCAAAGTCAGTGTATGCTCTGCATTTCACAGTCAGGTATCTGTGTGGCAGTGGTGTAGCCACAAAGGCATATATTTGGGAAGGTCTGTCCCTTTATCTTCTCTTTATATGGAACCTCTAGGCTCAGTCCCACATTCTTTGAACTTTTTACCTTGTGGGTGGACATTGCTTTTTACAGCTCTGAATATAAAATTGTCTTTTTGACAGCTTTAGCAACGCAGACTGTCATTTTTTCTTTTATAGTATTGAATTTTCTTTTCTTTTGTGGGGAATCTAAAATGAGAGAGAAATTTTTTTTCCTGACTGTGGAAGGAAGAGATGCATGTAACGCCTAAAGATCTTCCTACTAGAAGACATGTATCACCAAACCTCTTCCATTTAGGTTTGGATAGGCATTTGGCATCTCTTTGGAAGAATGAATTGTAAATTATTTTTTCAGATTTTGTGACTTGTGAGGGAAGCGTCCTGAACAGAGGGTGCCCTCATGGCAATAGCAAACTAAACCACAGATCATTGATAAAAACTACATAGGGGTGAAGGAAAATTTTGGGCTAATTTCTTACAGTGACTGTGCAGAATACTGCTATAGCCAGTAAAGCAGAGCTGGTAGGTCCCAGCACGAGCCTTTTGCAGAGCAGTGGAGTTCTGGTCCCAGAGTTAGAGAGTGACTAGACAAGAGACAGGGTTGCTGCGGTGATGAAACCATTGACATGTTTGTGTTTCTGTGCTAGGCTGGCTTCATAAAGAGGTTCAGAGTAGCAACAAGATGTCCTCTCTGAAGATGAAGAAACGCTGGTTTGTTCTGACAAACACTGCCCTTGATTACTACAAGTCATCTGAGCGTACAGCGGCCAAGCTTGGCACGCTTGTGCTCAATAGCCTCTGCTCCGTAGTGCAGCCTGATGAGAGGGTCTTCAAAGACACAGGTAAGAGAAAGAAGGAGCAGGCTTCTCATGTGTAGAGATGCCAGAAGAGGGGACAGTACAGGAATGTAATGGTGTGTCACATTGAGATGTAGCCTTGATGTTATCTGAGGCTCTGCATCTGGCTGCAAACATCTTTTCCCACAGAAACCATAAGACACTTGCAAAGAGCCAGAGACTAGTGTGCAAATAACACTAATTCCCCCATGCCTGACAGACATACACAGTGCTGATGTTTTTTTGCTGAATAGTGTCATTATTTATCTGTTTCCCAAATTTGGGAAAGGGGTATGAGTCCTTAAATTTGAAAAGTAAATACCAATTAACATTGTAATTTTCAGTACTTCTCCATAAATAACTGTCACTTTGTAACATGACCTACATTTGTCTCTGGGGTCAACGTTGCTCTTTTAAATAACAGCTATGACATACACTGTAAGTCTGCTTTGTCACATCACTTAACTTGTTAGAACCAAAAGATGCCAAGGGCCTATGTTTGATTTCTTTGCAGCATGATCCTCCATTGCTTGCCTGATGAGTTTGGGATAGAACTGGGATTATGAGGTGAGGGGTGAACCCCGTTGATAAAGAAGGTGAAGCTTAGAACAAGATTTGGAATACTGGACATTTGAATACTGGAGTCACTTGGGATATTTTTTAAAAGGGCTAGAAGCAAACTGGAAGCTGGAAGCATGTAGTAAAGTGAGATGAAATTTATTCTGCTCACTCGTAATATATTGTCCCTGTTTTTGATATTAGCAGATGTCTAGGGCTGCTTTTAGCACAGTCAGTTGTCATCACTGTGACCTGTTCTCTCAGTTTATGTCAAACATTATTTTTAAGAGTTATGAGAATTGATTTGGCAATCTGACTGGGTGCTGTGTGTAGAGTGGTCATTTTTTGAGTGATTAATAGCACAGTGTAGCCCAAACCCTGTCTGTGAAAGTGAGCTGTCAGGGCAGCAGGGAAGTATTCATGTTACACTGTGAGATATTTGTATCTTGGAAAGCTGCCTTTGTGCCAAAACCTGGATTGGGACCTTCCAGCTAAGGCAGTTTTAACCAGACATGCCATTATGTTGCTATCAAAGCAGCAGGAGTGTTCCTCAGCCATGTGCTGCAGACAAAAAGAGAAGATAACGAGGAATCAAGTTTCACCTTCCAGCTTCTTTATGTCTCCACAGGCTATTGGAACATCATTGTCCATGGGCGAAAGCATTCCTACAGACTGTACACAAAGCTGTTGAATGAAGCCATGCGCTGGGCCTCTGCCATTCAAGGTGTCATTGACAGCAAAGTTCCCATAGAAACACCTACACAGCAACTCATTCGTGACATCAGGGTAGGTGGCATCATGCTAATTGCCAAGTGAGCTGGGAGCAGCCATATCACCACTGGCCTTACCCAGTCATTGCTGAGAATCTGACAAGAAATGCAGTTGCTGCCTTAGAGGAGGAAAAAAAAATATTCTTAGAAATGTAAATAGTTGTGCAACCAAATAATCAAATGTTAATGTGAGTTTTAATTTGAATGAGTATGTTAGCTGATCTGCATAAGTTTAGGCTACAGCTGCTGTGCAGTTAGAAATTGCATGCAGAATTACACCATTAAGCATTTGCAAATCCCTGATGCATCCTTTCCTTGCCCTGAACTAGATGCAATTAAATAGTAACTGTTCAGGAAGAAAGAGCTGGGAGTGATTGTGGAGAATCTTGGAAAACTTCAGTTCAGGCTTCCAGGACAAATGGAACATTAGGTATTGTGCCAGTGAGCATGATAGTGACAGGCCCAGATTTTGTTGTCTGTGTAGTACAACCAGACAGATTCAGGGAGGACAGGCTCAATCATAAATACTAAACATGGTGGATCTTTGGTCAGAAAGTCTGTTAACCATTCACCGTTGAAAGTTTGAGGGATATACCAGGGAGGAATCATGCCATACATGCCTGTTACGTGCCTGCATTAGGTATCAGTCGCCAGCCACATTTGAAGTCAAGATCCTTTGCTTGGTGACCTTTGATATGACCCACCCATCATGGCTATTCTTATGTTTAATTTTCAGAAATAAGGTACAGAGTAATTTTTATATGTGAATTATACTTTGGTCACCTAGTCCATGTGTGGACCTCCAGAAACTTAAAAGAGAGTTGAGCTTGAACCTAAATGTATAAGGATATCCTGTGAAAGACTATCCTCATTTGAGAATTTTTATTTTTTTTTTCAGGAAAACAGCACAAACTTTGAAGTAGTGGAACAGACATATAGGAGGAACCCAATCTTGCGATATACCCAGCACCCTTTGCATTCCCCATTGCTCCCACTACCCTATGGAGATGTTAATGTCAGCTGTAAGTATTTTACCCATCTGACAGAATCCCCTCACATTTTGAGGATCAGTGTGGAGCCTGAGCACCACAACAGTGAACTATAAGCTCTCTCTATGCTGGTGAAGTCTGTTTGGGGCAGTGTAGCCCATAGGGGTCAGAGAGAGGGAGCAGTCCCTTTCTCTACCCGGTATGTATTCTGTGTCCACTGCCTTGTATCTTAGGAGCACTGAATCTTAAAGTCAGTGGGGGCAGATAGTTTATCATCCATCCAGAGGATGTGCAGCCTGTCATCCTTGAGCTGCAACTGAGTTGCAAATGGCTCCACTTCAAATCCTACAACAGGATTACGTCATGCAAGTGGCAGTGGGATAGTATTTATACAGAAGCTGCTGTAAAACCAGACTAAATGAATCCTTTCTTCAAATGCTTCAGGAACATGAAAGAGTTAGACTGTTGTGCAGGACACCAGAAAACCAAAGTGATTTGCTGATGATTTCAGACTGTTGGCATACTAAAACTGAAGGCTGCTGCTGAAGACCTGCAGAAGTATCTCTCACGCAGAGTGACTGGGCCACAAAGAAATTAGAAATTAATTTCAATCTGGATATGCAAAACAATGTCTATGGGGAAGAACAGTCTGGAATCATCAGCAGTGATAGGGTCTGAGTGATGTAGTTCTGCTTAGAAAAGTGAATGCAAATTTACATAGCTTTATGAAAATGTCAGCTCTTGTGCTGAGCACAGAAACAAAACAGCTAATGCAAGGTTTTGAAAGTTTTTAGAAAAGGAAAAAGAAAGTCTTTTGCGGCTGTATTGATGTATCATGCACCTGCATCTTGAATACGGGATGCAGTTTGGCCTTCCACATCTTAACAAAGATACAGGAGAAGTAAAAACCTACCCAAAGATGATCAAAGGCATAGAAAGACTTGCCTACAATTAAGAGACTGAATAGAGCAGTACTCATCAGCCTCAAAAAGAAGTTTTTAAGGCTAGAGGACTTTCATGGAGAAAGGGAATGGAGAACTGCTCACTGTTTCTGATGATACAAGGATAAATTAAGCAGCAGATTAAAAGCACTGAAAAATTCTGAAATACAGAAAAATTACAGAGCCAGTACTTACACTGTGGGACTTATTGCTACAGAGCTGTGTATTTATATTATACAAGTAGTGCACGGCCACTGGGGAAGCAGCGGCTGTAGAGTTGATTCAGAAGGTCCTACAGCCCCAGAGGTGTGCAAAAGAGAATGCAAGCCTGCAGCAATACGGTACTCACGTACTTCTGAGCAATTCAAAGCAGACACTTAGGTGCTTAAAAAATGTAACCAGTGTTGGTGTAGGCATTTTAAATCCAAATGGAAGGTACAGCAAATTGCCAAAATTGTGTGTGGCTCAGAGGTCAAAGCTAATACAGGCACAACAGAGAATTTTGGAAGTATGCAAGCCAGGCTTGGGAGTCTGCATTCAGGCACCTAAAGCCTTAACTGCATTAGTGACCCTCTGCTTCATAGCTGCTCTCAGGTGAGGAGATGGTTTACACAGAGATTACTTTCTGCCACCTCTTCACCTGTGTTTGCAGATGAGATACCAAAAGCTGTCTCTTGGCACCTCATCTGCAGACACTGAAGCCTGAACTAGATTTCAGTGCTAGTTTCCCTTAGAGACGTTACTCTGCTTTTCTGCATAGTATACGCAAAAATGGATTTGCAGTGGTGACAAGTTAGATGTTGGCAAATACTAATTAAAATTGCATTTGCACATTTAAAGGGGAAGCATTAATGAACTTTGAGTGTAAATTTAAGTTCAGGAGATGAGCTAATGTTCAGGTTGCTATTCTTCTGTGACAGGCGAGTACAGTTGCTAGTGGTGTTGCTGGGCCATTAGAAAATGAGGGAGACACTCACCTCTTGTCACCTTTGTGATTGTTCCCCAGTGCAACAAGAGAAGGGTTACAGCAGCTTACAGGATGAAGCAGTGAAGATCTTCAACTCCCTTCAGGAAATTGAGACAGTGTCTGACCCCATACCCATTATCCAAGGCATTCTGCAGACCTGCCATGATTTAAAGCCCCTTCGTGATGAAGTGTACTGTCAGCTCATCAAACAAACTAATCACATGCCACATCCCAACAGTACTGGGAACCTGCACCACTGGCAGCTGATGTCGTGCATGAGCTGCACTTTCCTGCCTAGCAGAGGGATCCTGCGCTACCTCAAATTCCACCTGAGAAGGTACACATCCTTTCCATCTGCAGCCTGTTTCCTTTCGCTCTCCTTATCTTCCACTGCCTGTTGTAGTTACCTGCCTTGTCCTCCTCCTGCACAAACATCTTCCTGTGGCGTTGCAGCCTCCTACCTTTGTGTGCAATTCTTGCTACCAGTTGTTCGGTTGTATTCAAACTCCCCCCTTGCCACCCATCTGTTCTGTTGAAAGGATGTGGAAAGTAAGGCTACCCAAACAGAATACCATGAAACTGTGTTAAAAGTGGACTTACAGCCGATCACCTACTGCTTGCTATTGGCCATATAAACATACTCAACTAGCAGGGAAGGTGAGGACTGTACTTTCATATTCATTGAAATATTTACTGCCTCGCAGCTGTCACAGTAAAAATGTGTACTGTGGAGTAGTAGATATACTGTAAACCCAATTTATAATTTTTCAGTATTTGTTTGCTTAACTAAGCACATAATACTTACAATTTGTATTTCTGATCTACTTTAGCCTCCAGTTTTCAGGAACTAAATCATTTCTTCCCAATTCATGCTCAGGATCTAATGCATTGGGGCTAAGCTGCAGCCATGTAGTCTCACTCTGTTCACTAACGATGAGAAACATCGATAAAATCTATTTGATTCTTTCCAGGCTAGGAAAGAGTTAGGTGAAATTTGTGCCAGTACACTGAAGAGCTACATCCAGGGCCTGGTTTTAAGAGGTGCTGAGGAATACTCCATGTTGCCATTTCATGCTTTTATCACTGGAGTTGCAGATCATGTTATGCTTAGAACTGCTTGCATTGGAGGGAAGAGAACTGTGTACAAGCATCTACTTTCTACCTTCTTGATTCTGAAAAATACTGTAGAAGTGGCTTATGCACAGCCAGCAAATTAAAAACCAATTAATAAAAAATGCAAAAAGGTTTACATTTGATTTCATAGTTTTTAATCTCAATTTTTAAAAATTGAGATAGTCAATCCTGCAGCCTTCAGCTGGTACTAAACTCCTGAAAGTTTGAACTGCTTATTTCATACATTGCTGAGAAACACCACTGAAGTGGCTTTGGAATGACTAGTAAAAGCAGGTTGTACGGTTTAGGAAATAAGCAGGCTCATTCTTCCTGTGGTTGCACTTAACATCGCTGTCTCTACTGAACTCTGTACATATGGTAGTCCAAGTTATATGGTGATGTGTGTGCTTTCTGGTTCGCTGTGTAATGGCTTTTTTCCCTCCTCTTTATGATCAGGGTAAAAGACCTCTTTCCAGGCTCAGAAATAGACAGGTATGCGCAATTCATAAGTGATTCCTTGAAGAGAACAAAGACAAGGGAGTTCGTGCCCTCCCAGGAGGAAATACAGGCTCTTCTCACCCGTGAAGAAATGACCACGACAGTGTACTGCCATGGTGGTGGCTCCTGTAAAATAACCATCAATTCCCACACAAGTGCTGGGGAGGTAATGTATCAGTAGTGCCAACCAGATGTAAGCCCACCTCTGTGTGTGGATACTGGGTCTGTCAAAGGGACTCCTTTTTCCTGTTCTTCTCTGATTTATCATTATTATTTTTTTATTAATTTTTTTTTTTTGCTATATCTGCAAAGTTTGTAGGTTTTTTTAAAGCTCAATTTATTCTGCGGGTTCAGAATTATACAAGGCCTATGCATGAGTTGTAGAGTATCACTTAACAATTGTGTTGCAAAATCTAAACGCTTCTGGTGTTGTACCCGTTGGAAAGGTAGTAATTCTGAAGACCTGCTAAACACAGTTTTCTGGACAACTTGAAATTCCAGTCCATAATGTAATCCTTCTGGAAGTGATATTCTACCAGTAATGTAATAGTTAGCAGGTTAGAAGCAAGATTCCAGCTTATAGTAGGCATGTCTGTGAAAACATTAGTGCTAAACAGAGGTAAAAATAGTAGTAAAGAGTAGTATTGCTACTAGAGGAACTGAGAATATCATCATGACATTTAAAGCCATTATGTGACTGCATCTTGTGCAGAATTCTAATTCCCCATCTCCAGAAGGGTAGTGGAGATTGAAAAGGTTCAGAGAAGAACAGCGAGGATGATCCAATATAAGTAATGGCTTCCTTGCAGGGAATGATCTTTTAGGGTTAGAATTCTTTAATCTGAAAGTGAGATAACCAAGGGACAAATGTGATGGAGGTCTATGAAATTATGAGGGTCCTGAAGAGGTATTGATTCTTCATTGTGAAAGTGTGTGTGATAGCTACTCTGTGATCTGTCTCCCTCTGATTTTGCAGGTGGTTGAAAAGCTGATCCGCGGTTTAGCAATGGAGGACAGCCGTAATATGTTTGCGCTCTTTGAACATAATCAGCAGGTGGACCGTGCTGTTGAGAGTCGAGTGATTGTGGCTGATATCTTGGCCAAATTTGAGAGGTAGAAGAATATTTCATAAAACCTTTAGCTCCTAGTTAGAAGTAACACTGGTTTAAGTGATAGTACAGTCAGGGAGTTTTAGCCAGAGCAGATGCAGTGATTCAACCATTCACTCTGGTTTAAACTTCCCTTTGGTAAAGGTCAAGTGCTCTTTCTCACTGTGTGGGAAACCATGTTCACATCTATTTCAGTGACAAAAAAGCATTCTTTATCAGAATGATACTCTTTATCAAAGAGTAATGGCTTACTAGCAGAGCTCAGGGAAGGTTTGCTTAAGTCTGATAATGATCTTGTCTATTTACATTATAATAACTATATGAGAAGAGAGAGCAAAGATTTGGGCATAGAAATGCAACTCTTAATTTCTTACTGTGGACTGTGATTTTGTGGCCAGACATACAAAGAAAGCAATAAATTGTGAAAGAAGCTGGCAGTGCCATTATCTATTTTGTGTCTGTTCTAAAGATAAAAATAAAATTGTTCCAAATGGTGGCAAGGCTGATGTTTTTCAGAGTCACAAGATTACATGGAAACAGTATCTTGAAAATGGGTAATACTTTGTGTCCTCTCTCCAATTCTTGCATTTATCTAGAACTGTTGATCTAATTTTTTGAACAAGTATATTTGATAATATCTTTGTGTCCTTCTGAATCAAAATTTCATCTGACTCCGAGGAGAAATGGAAATTACCAGAAAATTCTGCTGCACTGGGATTGTCCTGCCAAATTATGTAGTTCTTTATGCTCTCTTTCAGAAATCCAGGGGTAACTTGATAT